GNGAAGCCATGCACATAGTTGCTTTAGCATTAAAGGCAGTTGGAATCAACGTTGATGAACTCACTTTGTCAACAAGGTCTCTTTACGGATCTAGAAAAGCTATACGACAATCTATCGGAAAAACTATCAAAAACACATTTTTGCCAAACACAACTCTTGTGGCTCACTTTGATGGAAAACTTTTACCTGATTTTGATGGTGTAAACATAGATCGCCTGCCAATTGTGGTATCAGAGAAAAATGTAGAAAAACTGATAGCTATACTAAAGGTTGGCGGTACTGGCATAAACATAGGAACCACAATAGTTCAGTTACTTCAGAATTGGGAAGGCGTGTCAAATTGGTTGGCTGGTTTGTGTTTTGACACAACAAGTTTTAATATTGGCATTCATACTGGTGCTATAACAATAATTCAGAAATTTTTTAATAAACATCTCTTGTTTTTAGCATGCAGGCATCATATTCTTAAAATTATTGAAACAGCTTTATTTGATTTATTTTTCACTTCATCTGGCCCTCAAATTGCTATTTTTAGTAGATTTAAAGATCAATGGCCATCAATTAATCAGTTAAAATATGCATCGATTGACAAGGTAACAACTGGTTGTTCTTTGACTGATGATGAAAATTTGTGGCTTAAGCAAAATCGTGTAGCTATGATTGATTTTCTTCAAGACCAACTGCAAAATACTCAACCTCGACATGGCTACTTGCAATTGATTAGGCTTTCTCTCATAACTTTTGGAGTTTCAGATCCTACTGCTGTACAAGTCACTTCTCCAGGAGCTTATCACAGGGCTCGCTGGATGGCCAAAGGAGTTTATTGTTTGAAGATTTTTTGCTTTCGTGAGCAACTGAAGTTAACTGCATATGAGCTACAAGCATTAAAGAGACTTTGTCTCTTTACTGTAACTGTATATGTAAAGGCATGGTTTTGTGCAGCAAACAGCTGTAGTGCTCCTTACAAAGATTTATGTTTTTTTCAAACTCAGGAATTATTTGAAAAAGTTGATTGCAAAGTTGGAAAAGAAGCAATGAAAAAAATTAAAAGGAATCTCTGGTATCTAAGCGAAGATCTTGTTGGAATGACATTTGTTTCTGATTGGGTTAATGTCGATGAGAAAAAGCTTATGGTTAAAGCATTACATAAAAAAGCAAAAAAAAAATGATGTTAGAAAAGTAGATCCAAAACACATAAGTTCTTTAAAATCTAAGATTTTGTCAGATTTTGTGACAAAACAGTCTTTAAATTTATTTTCTACATTGAAACTCAGTCAAAATTTTCTTTGCTTTGATTCAGAAGTATGGCCACAACTAGAGGATTACAATAATGCAAAAAAGATAGTGATTGCAGTACGGGTAGTTAATGATTGTGCTGAGCGAGCAGTTAAATTGGCATCTGATTTTAATACAGCATTTACTCATGATGAAAATTAGCGCCAGTTGATGTATCAGGTGATTGAGCATCACAGGAAATTAATGAATGAACCTTAGAAAAAGAACTATACTGATTCAGACATTACTTTATAATAAAACAATATATAAATATTCATAATAAATTAAAAACAGTTATTTTTTTATTAATTTAAAAAAAATGTTTTAAAAAACTGAATTTTCTGAACAATCTCATCAATGAGAGGTCACTTAACATTGTTTGATTTTATTGATTCTTGGTGTTTGTCTTTATATCATCAAATGACACAAAATAAACCCATATGCAAATCTGGTTTGAAAAAAATTTTTTTTTTCTTAATAAAAATAAAACGGTCTAAAAATATATATATTTGGTTTAGACTATCATAATCAATCAATCAATTAATTAATTTATAAAGAGCTTTTTCCGCGATGTCCAACAGCGCTCCTCAATGAATTTTGCAAACAGATGGGTCTTGAGATCCGCTCCGAACTTCGTAAATGATGGAGAAGTAGTCAGAAAAAGAGGTAGAGAGTTCCAGAAAAAAGGGCTAGAAAAAGCAAAAGCAGATTTAACAAAAGAGTGTTTAACACGAGTTAAGAAGTAAGAACGAGAAGACGATCGTAAACCGTGGCGTTTAGGTTCAATTAATATATCTGATAAATACTTAGGAAATAATTTAGATTGAGACTTATACATAAATGTGCAAATTTTAAAAATTATTCTAAATTTTATAGGTAGCCAGTGCAAGAAAACAAAATATTGAGATATATGAGAAAAGAAAGGGGCACGAGCAACTAGACGAGCAGCAGAGTTAAAAGCTTTACTTAAAGATAGAGTATAGAATCAGGAAGACCATAGTAGAGCGAGTTACAATAATCAATCCTAGATAAGACTAACAAAGTAACAAGAAGGCGAAGAGTAGGATCATCAAGAAAAGGCAAAAGTTTTTTATTTTACGTAGATGAAAATAAGAGCTTTTAGCGACAGTATTAATCTGAGAAGAAAGAGACATGGTAGAATCAAAGATAAAACCTAGACTACGAAACTCGTTAGAAACATCAAGAGTTTTAAAATCAGGTAAGATAATAGGAGGAATAGTAATAGAGTGTTTAGATTTATTAAAACAAATTAATTCAAACTTAGAAGGATTAAGTTTAACACTCATTCTATTAGCCGTATTAATACTATGGTACACATAGAGTCAGACCAAGCGATAATTGAAGAAAGACATACAAATAGATTATGAAGAACACTATTGAGATTAAATGGAGGAAAGGAAATATAAATGTAAGAATCATCAGCATATAGTTGACTAGTTAAAGAAAAATTATTAATAATACGAGGTAGTCCAGATGTCTAGAGTATAAATAGAAGAGAGGCAAGAATAGAACCCTGAGGTACCCCGAAAGTAAGACAAGAGGAGTTAGAAGTAGAATTATTGAGAACAACAGAAAAAGAAACGATTACAGAGATAAGAAGAAAACCAAGATATACAAGAATTGGTAATCTTAAAAAAAGATCTAGCAGCCTCAAGAAAATAGTATGAACAACAACTTAAAAACGAAAATACAAACGACAATAACAACAATGTAAAAAACATAATAATTTATTATAAAAATAGTATGTCCTCATCATATAAAACAAAGAAAAAAATAATGAAAAAGATAATAAATAACAATGATAATAAAAGATAATAAATAACAAGTCATAGATACAAACAGCTCAATATAATTAAGAATTATAATATGAGGTAGTTCAGATGTATAGAGTATAAATGGAAGAGGGCCAAGGACGGAACAATACTATATAACTACACTGATGATGGCAGTTGATGCCGAAAAGAGCTTTACTGTAGGAATAACGTTATTAATAATGTTTTTTCAAAAATGTTAAATATTAAGTTTTTTATTTAACCTTAATAAACTTCCTTAAGATTATAAAAGTCTCGTTAGAAAAATTTGAAAACTCAACTAAAAGTTGAATATAATATATATATGTAATATATGTATATATATATATATAAATAATAAATTAATAAATATTAATTTTGAACTAATAGGACCAAAAGTCTGGAAACAGGTGATTCCACTTGGAGATTAAGCTCTGTTCACTTGCATTTTTTAAAATTTAAAATTAACCGCTACCTGATTAAAAAAAATACTATTTTCTTGAATTAGGAAGTGTTTGTTATTATCGACTATATAAAACTATGTTGTTTATTTCTATGTTCCCTCTGTGTAATGTGCATGTATGTGTGTGAGTATGTGTGAATAATTGAATGCGTGCATTGTATGAATGGATCTATGTATAATTTCTTTTGACTTTAATATTCTACCTGATATTATTTGAATTTACTGGATTTAAATAATATTATTAATTATATGTACTTAAGAAATTTTTGTTATCTTTATTGGTTATCTGTGTTTAATAGTTAGATTTTTATTATTTTACATTAAATATTATTAACAATAATAGAAACAATCGTAATAACTAAAGAATATACTCCCCATGTATCTTTTATTTCGAACTAATTTAATCATTGATTTTTGTTGAACTACTTTAATCTTTAATTTATGTTGATCAATTTTAATTTCATTTGGATAGGGTGACTTTCCTACAAGCATTTGGTTGCTTTTTAGTTTAAAAACCTTGTTGTAAATATCATAATAACTAAAGTTTATGTAGATTATATAAATAAAATAATGTAATTTAAATAAAATGTTTAGTAAAATAATTAAAATATAGAAATTTTATAAAAGTTTTAACATGGTTGAGAAACGTTAGTGAAAACTAATTACGAATGACATGTGCGCCAGATATATAATATTGCTGTGTATGCGTTGGGAATACAACTATTGCGGTTGAATATGTGTGATACGAGTTTCCACATCAGACCTACGGATACATAGTTAAATATAAATACATATATGTACATGCAAGATACATATCTATGTATAGATCAAGTATTAGGTATCACATAATACATCCAACGACGCGATGACGGTTGTCGGATGACGCTGGGTCACAAACTGCGTGTTGATGGGTTGAAATGTATTCAACGTAGGATGATATTCATATCGTTGTGGTACACGCAGATCCTGTGGATCAACCCCAACGGCAACAGTAGGTGTGAGATCGTGATATTGA